CCAGAAAGCGGTCTGTGGCGGAGCAGAGTTCATGTTTTGCCAGGCTCGGTATGGTTACAGCCGCCTCCCCTGGGATCTGGCTAGATGTCGGCAGGTGCTGAGAGATTGAGGGATCTTTACATTGGAATCCCTAGCGAATCCCAGAATTCTCAAGCTGGGCCCAGCCTGGACAATGGACATTCACTGGGCAGCAGACAGCCATACCTTGTACCAGCGCTGAATAAATGATGGTGTAAAGTATGGCCACAAATCCAATGTTATTTACTAGGTAAATATTATTTGTTTGTTTGTATTTATAATTTTACCTTTCTTCCTTTTCATTTCTCCAAAAGGAAGTTAAAATGTTATTGAGTATTTTTTCATAGTTTTACCCCATGGATTCTGAGTAATAACCTCCTTTAACCCATAACACAGTATACAGCCAGGGATTCTGGGTAATAACCCGCCTTACCCCATAATCACACCGTATACAGAGCGCCCCCTGCAGCCAGGGATTCTGGGTAATAGCCCGCCTTACCCCATAATCACACAGTATACAGAGCTCCCCATGCAGCCAGGAATTCTGGGTAATAACCCACCTTACCCCATAATCACACAGTATACAGAGCGCCCCTTGCAGCCAGGGATTCTGGGTAATAACCCGCCTTACCCCATAATCACACAGTATACAGAGCTCCCCCTGCAGCCAGGGATTCTGGGTAATAACCCGCCTTACCCCATAATCACACAGTATACAGAGCTTCCCCTGCAGCCAGGGATTCTGGGTAATAACCCGCCTTACCCCATAATCACACAGTATACAGAGCTTCCCCTGCAGCCAGGGATTCTGGGTAATAACCCGCCTTACCCCATAATCACACAGTATACAGAGCGCCCCCTGCAGCCAGGGATTCTGGGTAATAACCCGCCTTATCCCATAATTACACAGTATACAGCGCTTCCCCTGCAGCCAGGGATTCTGGGTAATAACCCACCTTACACCATAATCACACAGTATACAGAGCTTCCCCTGCAGCCAGGATTCTGCATAGCCCGCCCACCCCATAATCACACAGTATACAGAGTCTCCTGCAGCCAGGGATTCTGCACAACCCGCCTTCACCTCCATAATCAACATTGGTATACAGAGCTCTGCAGCCAGGGATTCTGGGTACAGTCTCGCCTACCCCATAATCACACAGTATACAGAGCCCCCCTGCACAGGATTCTAACAACCCGTTCACCCCATAATCAACACACAGTATACAGAGCTCTGCAAAGCTAGGATTCTGGGTAATAGCCCGCCTTACCCCATAATCACACAGTATACAGAGCTCCCCCTGCAGCCAGGGATTCTGGGTAATAACCTGCCTTACCCCATAATCACACGGTATACAGAGCGCCCCCTGCAGCCAGGGATTCTGGGTAATAACCCGCCTTACCCCATAATCACACAGTATACAGAGCTCCCCTTGCAGCCAGGGATTCTGGGTAATAACCCGCCTTACCCCATAATCACACGGTATACAGAGCTCCCCCTGCAGCCAGGGATTCTGGGTAATAACCTGCCTTACCCCATAATCACACAGTATACAGAGCTCCCCCTGCAGCCAGGGATTCTGGGTAATAACCTACCTTTCCCCATAATCACACAGTATACAGAGCTTCCCCTGCAGCCAGGGATTCTGGGTAATAACCCGCCTTACCCCATAATCACACAGTATACAGAGCTCTGTTGTTGTGATTCTGCACAACCCTTACCCCATAATCACACAGTATACAGAGCTCCCCCTGCAGCCAGAGATTCTGGGTAATAACCCACCTTACCCCATAATCACACGGTATACAGAGCTCCCCCTGCAGCCAGAGATTCTGGATAATAACCCGCCTTACCCTATAATCACACAGTATACAGAGCGCCCCCTGCAGCCAGGGATACTGGGTAATAACCAGCCTTACCCCATAATCACACAGTATACAGAGCTCCCCCTGCAGCCAGGGATTCTGGGTAATAACCCGCCTTACCCCATAATCACACAGTATACAGAGCTCCCCTTGCAGCCAGGGATTCTGGGTAATAACCCACCTTACCCCATAATCACACAGTATACAGAGCGCCCCCCGCAGCCAGGGATTCTGGGTAATAACCCACCTTACCCCATAATCACACGGTATACAGAGCGCCCCTTGCAGCCAGGGATTCTGGGTAATAACCCGCCTTACCCCATAATCACACGGTATACAGAGCGCCCCTTGCAGCCAGGGATTCTGGGTAATAACCTGCCTTACCCCATAATCACACAGTATACAGCTCGCCCCCTGCAGCCAGGGATTCTGGGTAATAACCCGCCTTACCCCATGATCACACAGTATACAGAGCTCCCCTTGCAGCCAGGGATTCTGGGTAATAACCCGCCTTACCCCATGATCACACAGTATACAGAGCGCCCCCCGCAGCCAGGGATTCTGGGTAATAACCCGCCTTACCGCGATACTGGTATACAGAGCTCCTGCAATGATTCTGGGTAATAACCAGCCTTACCCCATAATCACACAGTATACAGAGCTCCCCCTGCAGCCAGGGGTTCTGGGTAATAACCAGCCTTACCCCATAATCACACAGTATACAGAGCTCCCCTGCAGCCAGGGATTCTGGGTAATAACCCGCCTTACCCCATAATCACACAGTATACAGAGCTCCCCCTGCAGCCAGAGATTCTGGGTAATAACCCACCTTACCCCATAATCACACGGTATACAGAGCTCCCCCTGCAGCCAGAGATTCTGGATAATAACCCGCCTTACCCTATAATCACACGGTATACAGAGCGCCCCCTGCAGCCAGGGATACTGGGTAATAACCAGCCTTACCCCATAATCACACAGTATACAGAGCTCCCCCTGCAGCCAGAGATTCTGGGTAATAACCCGCCTTACCCCATAATCACACAGTATACAGAGCTTCCCCTGCAGCCAGGGATTCTGGGTAATATCCTTCCTTACCCCATAATCACACAGTATACAGAGCTTCCCCTGCAGCCAGGGATTCTGGGTAATAACCCGCCTTACCCCATAATCACACAGTATACAGAGCTTCCCCTGCAGCCAGGGATTCTGGGTAATAACCCTCCTTACCCCATAATCACACAGTATACAGAGCTCCCCCTGCAGCCAGGGATTCTGGGTAATAACCCGCCTTACCCCATAATCACACAGTATGCAGAGCTCCCCCTGCAGCCAGGGATTCTGGGTAATAACCCGCCTTATCCCATAATCACACAGTATACAGAGCTCCCCCTGCAGCCAGGGATTCTGGGTAATAACCCGCCTTACCCCATAATCACACAGTATACAGAGCTTCCCCTGCAGCCAGGGATTCTGGGTAATAACCTACCTTACCCCATAATCACACAGTATACAGAGCGCCCCCTGCAGCCAGGGATTCTGGGTAATAACCTACCTTACCCCATAATCACACGGTATACAGAGCTCCCCCTGCAGCCAGGGATTCTGGGTAATAACCCGCCTTACCCCATAATCACACAGTATACAGAACTGCCCCTGCAGCCAGGGATTCTGGGTAATAACCTACCGTACCCCATAATCACACAGTATACAGAGCTGCCCCTGCAGCCAGGGATTCTGGGTGTTTTCTAAAATGGGAAGTACAGCGCATTGCTTCATTTTAGGCTCCTATCTAGTTTTCGTTAATGGCAAGTGTAGACAAATCCTTCTGCTTAATTTCTTTACATCATACATTTTGTTTTTGTAATGTACTGACCTTGTTTAGGAGGACATGGAATCTGCTCTAGCAGAGGGTGCGCCATAAGGCTCTCTTTAATTTGTGATATTGCAGATGTAGTATCTACGATCTTGTTTTCATTAAACATACTACCAGAGGTAATAACAGGAGATGGGTTGTAGATGGTGGTGTCTTTTGCTGCGTCCTGGTAAAAATAGAAAAGCTAATTATTAAAACTACGATCCCTTCGCTGAAGTTTTCATGGGGGGGATACTGATAGTAGAAGTAGATTTAGAACTCCCTTTAGACCACTGCATAGGTAACACTTCTGGATCTTTGCTCAGGTAGGCAAAACACAAAATGTGAAAATTAAAAGTGAATTCAATAAGAATTTCAAACTTCAGGCCAAAGTAGCTGAACTTTTGCAATCCGGCTATTTTGACCCTAAATTTGAAATCACCTTGAATACTCACCTTAGTAAATAACTATGTTAGACACAGATTCTGTTCCCACTTACACTCAGCTCATGGACTGCTAGAGTATACACCACCCGTCTACGCGAGACTACTCCTATTTGTCACACTCCCACCAATTCTACTTGAAAGTACGTATGTTATTTTTACCCCACTAGTAATTACTTCCATACACGGACCATGTATTTAGACCATGCCATGATTACAATGACCCGTAGCCCTCAAAAATTTAAAAAAAAAACCTCAAAAATTTAAAAAAATCTGTCACGCTTTGAACACACATCAACATACCCCAAGACATGATAGCCAGTAGAAAATAAATTGCATGACTACATTGTAGAAAATAATCGAGACAATATATCACGCCAAATATTACTGAAGCAAAGAAATGCATAGGCAGAAGCTATGTTATCATTATGGGCCCTGAGAATAAGAAAGCTCATCTCGAGGTAAGTCAAGATCTCACACTACCACCAACACAAAATGTACCTGTCTCCTGACACAGAGCAAGATCTCAGCATGGTGGTCTACACAGAAAGCCCAATCTCTGTAAAACACCAGAATGACCCCAAGCTTATACATGCCAAGTAGAACATCCAACTGATGAGGAGAATATACAACCTAAATAAAATCTATTATGGAGCTCATGGAACTGTCCAAATTCTGGGTGCCTTGATGTCCCACTATAACAACATTGAACATTAGAAGAATATCTGCTTTCCATTGATTTGTTTTTGAACATCAAAGATTTTAAGGGAACATAACTTAATATGAGGTATTCATACTTAGCTGCTACCTACCCATAAGCCATTCAGACCTCCCATGAGCACCTGTATCCAGTCATTGTTTATTGTGTTTTCAAGCTGTGCTTTTATCTCCTTCAGCCTGTCAATCTTTGCGTTTGTTGGGGTAATCCCTTCAAGCATTTTCCTCTGTGCTGCTTCCTGTTCCTGTTTTATTCTCCAAAATGATGCTCTCTCCTGTTTTTCTATATAATCTCGCATCTCTCTGAAGTCCCTGGTGAGGTTGTCTTTGATGTCACAAACTAATATCTGAAAATACAAATAACAAGAGTAAAATGAAGATTAACACCATAAATATGCAAAGATGGATTACGATCACCATTTCTACCCATAATGCATTTCCCCTGTGTATGTAGGTATTTGTAGAATTATAGAATTTATCATGTTTTCCTTTGTTCCATATCCTGCAATACCATAACATTTTGTTACCATCACCACTGTCATGCATCCCATACATTATAGTAAAGAAATGGCCAGATTTTTAGACCTCCCATGATGCTTTGCTAGACTTTCTCCTGGCATGAAAAG